ATATATATATATATACATACACATACATATATACATACATACATATATATATATGTATATACGAAAATGTTGCAAATAGTGTAGCTTAGGGTTAGCTTGGCCTTCTGCGAGGCAGTCTGCCAACAGCATAGGGCTCTGCTAATCTGGTCCTGTTGGTTAATTTTAACTTTCTCAAGTAGCACACCCAGTCCCAGACAGTGAGGGACTGTAAACACATATTTTCATCAGCCATTATAAAAAAAACAAGCCAACCAAACATTGATAGCTAGCATTAACTAACGTGTTTAGAGAATTATTCTGCCTCCACCCACAAAAACAAGTCGTCATGTTAACTAACAGACAAGGGGTCTATACCATGTTTAAGTGCAAAGGCCTACAGATCGGATGTCACGATCAACATAATGTATCCACGTACGGATTACGTGTTTATATCAGTTGTTACTGGAGCCATTCAGTCCATAACTCTGACTTACTTGGGCCCAGTGTTGGCTGGTCCCTCGGTCTGGGTGGAGGTGGAGGATGATGGAGCAGGTGGTGAGCTGCTGTCCATGAGTTGTGATGCTACAGCCCCTCTAATAGAGGAGGAAGATGGCGGTGGGGAGGAAGAGGACTGAGGTACCTCTGGCTGTGAATGGGATCTGCTGTCACTGGACACTCCCTACAACACATGAACACATCACAGTACAATGCGCACTCAGTACTGTGGTCTGTACTGTTGGTTCATAGAAGTTATGTACAAGTGGAAATTGAATGCATCCATCTGATGACCAGGTAAGCGCCACAGCTATGAGGTTCTTTACTCTCCTCTGGTTTTGGAGAAAAACTTGGTGTATTGCTTTAACCCTAAGAAATTAGTCAAATGGGAACACGCATGCACAATACACATACTGGAGGCATCAGCACAATGTACCAGTTTACCAGTGATATTTCTCCAATATTCAATGGCAATAAACATCCAAAATCAAGTAAATGAGACACTCTCAATCAAGTGTTCTTCGATCGATACAGTGCAAACAGACACCGAGAGTAGCTGATGTAGTGCAGATGCACAAGAATGTAATATCTACGTAGTATTTACATTGCATGTGTGAGTATAAGGGTCACTGCTAGGAAACTCTTTTTTGGGGGATAAACGGCACACGGGAAAGCAGAGTCACGATAGTAGGAGTGAGAGAAGAGTGGCTGAAGAGTGAGAGACAGTGGAGAGCACGAGTAACATTAGGCCAGTACTGTGTAGATTGTTTAGGTGACATCAGTCAAAAGAAAAAAAGGTTTTACTCAGAGACAGTGGTTTTGGTATGCTAATGTTGAGCTGGTGGCTGGCTAGCTAGCTAATAAGCTACATGTCAAGAAATAATATAATGGGCTTCAGAATAAGAAGTGCTTTGTCCATCTTTTGGCAAAGCAGTCCATTGGCTTTAACCTTGCAAAACTAACTTTACATGCAGGGGTAGTGTCCTCCCTTTTGTCTTGTTTTGTCCAGTGGCTCCTTAGTCTCCATCTTTCTCAAGTGGAAATCTAGTTAGTAGACCAGCTTAAGGGGAAGAGAACGGGGCATAGAAGTTATCTGTTCCCAACTGTTGTTTACTATTTGTTAACACTGTCAAAGGAAAATAAGCTTACTGAGCATGCTCAGAATCCTCTTCTGTGGTATTTGAGACAGTTGACACCTACTTTTGAGTTATTTTTGCATTCTCTCTAATGACCATCAGGGGGCGACTCCTCTGGTTGTATAGAAGTCTATGAGAAAATGACTCTACTTCTCTCTTGACTTATTACCTCAGTAAACATTGTAAACATGAGTTTATGGTCTCAATCTCTAATTTCAAGTATTCTTCCATACAGCATGATGTTCATTTCGTAAATGATGGTCCATTTAGAGTCAAACAGACCATAAAGCAGGGTAGGCTTATACGGCGTCTCTACATCACTCCTCTGCACTCCAAATATGGTAACTTCTGTTCATTGGTTGTGAAAAACAACAACACGGTGACTGCTGTAATCCAAGATGGCGACGGCAAAATCGAGGCTTCAAAACGGCAGTCCACAAAACAATGTCTGATGTCACGATGACTACGTCCACTCCATGTATACAGTCTATCGTTCTAGTGTGGACCGAGATATTTTGTAAAACAAAAGTCGAGTGAACAGAATCGTATTTTAAAACGTAGAGGAAAATGTCCATTTGAAAAACTATATCTGTATACGTGTAGACACTACAGGGCCTTACTCTGAACATGGTCTATGACTTGTCTAGCTAAGATATTAGTGAAGATGCTATGAGGCTGTAAATAACAGCCAAGGCAACAAAAGCAGCATGTGCACCGTACCTCCAGCCTGTGGATCAGAGAGCGAGTGTCTCTGAGCAGGTTCTCAGCCAGCTGCAGCCTCATCCTGGGCTCACTCTGCACTGACTGGTCCATCTGCACGTCCACCAAGCCATTGCTCTATACACACAGACATCAGTTAGCTGTACAGGAAGAGGGAGATTAAGGACTTAAAGACTGATGAGATGATGCCTGGTGAATAATGAGCCTTTACCCCGGAGCTGGTGCTGACCCTGGTGTTCCTTCCAGCTTCACCGACTCCAGCCATCATCTGCTGAACAGACATCTACAAAACAAATTCCAGCTATCACAAAGCATGAAAATCCACAAAATGATACTGAAGCTTTGGTTTGCATGCAGCGGGGTCATCCCCACCTGGATCTGCTGAGGGTCCATGATGTTGACGGGCAGGTTGAAGGTCCCCAGCATCACGTAACTGTTACGGTTGTGCGGTGCACCCTGGGAGGAGGTAGAAGCATGGCTGCTGCTGCTTCCGCCATCTGGTCCCCCAGGAGAAACACCTGCACCACTGGAACCGGACATGGTAGCCTGAGGTGGGGCACGCTCCACCAGGTGGATTACCTTGCCATCTACATCTGATGGAGAAACAAAGAGATGGACTTCATACTGTAATATATGAACACATATTGTAATAACTTAAAACAGATGTTTTAATGAGACACTTGGCAAACAATGTTGGCAAAGCGGCAGCAATACACTACCATACTGAACAATGAAATAATTAATGAAAAAAAACCTAGATTAACCAATAACCAATGGTTGCAACACTTAGTAAAGTTATATTAGTAGTAGGATTTCTGGTGGTCAAACTCCAAAGCTCAGCTGGATTCAATTTCACCTCACAGTTTACCACACTGACCGGTCATCATATTACATCAACATTCAAATGACATAGCAGGTTGGAATACAAGCAGCACAACAAAAAAGGAGGGAAAGAGGAGAATAAACATAAGAAAATAAACAAATAATATAATTCTTATTCTTTTGAATTAGATAGTTCGAGGTCGTTTTAAAACTAAAAATATATTGAGCAGCTTTCATGTACTCACTGTATTCAGTCAGCGTCCTGTCATCCTGCAGCACTCTGCCCTGGTAGATGAGCCGCTGCTTGTCTACTGGGATCTCCACTGATGAAGCCATGTGTTCCTTGAACTGCTTCACTGTCAGCTGGTGACACAACACACAATTGAAACGGGAGGGGAAAGAGGAGTCTCAGTAAAGCAGTGTTTGAATCAGGGTAAGAGCATTACCTCGCCTCTGACTTGGTAGCTCCTGCTCTGGGAGTCCAGAGTCTTCACAGTGACTTCTATCATACCGCCAGACTCAGACCGATTTCAGAATGTCTGAAACAAAGTCAGTACCGTAAATTAAGCGTTAGGTAGCTAGCGTTAATTTCAACCATTAAGGAGAAAGGAACCAACCTAGTAACCTTTATCTACTACCAAACTAATTAAGTGGTTAAATAATAAGACAGCGCCAGTTACAGACAGCTTCAGTGCCTTGTTGACGTTATTAGCTTAGCCAGCCAGCTAACATTGGGTAATAATCCCAGTTACCGGAACGATAACAGTGCTAACTAGCCGAGCTCCCCTGGGAGATCGCTATCCACATACAGTGGAGGTCTTGCTGTTCTTCATTTATAGTCTGCTATAGTATACTACAACCTGGGGAATTCCAATTTGAAGGGAAATTCTGGTTTGAGTGTGACCGGATTCCGGTTGATCCGTTAGCTAACTAGCTTAGTTTTCCCAAATTAAACAAGGCAGTGAACGCAACGTCAAAGGACCCCAATGACGTAGGGAGACGCGTCTGTTTCATGCCTGATAGCTGTCACTTTGGCAAAGTTTATAACTTTCATTTAAAACTGTTCGTAGTGTTAAACTTGCTAAGTATTTCTACTTTCACCTTACTATAGGATTATATATCAAGATAAGAAAATAAATGAAGTGATTATTATTGTTATTGTTGTTATTATTGTTACCATTATTATTAGTGGTAGTGGTATTAGTTAATGGTTGTTGTAGTGGTAGAATGTAGAATTCGATGTTGTAAAGTGGGGTTGTATTTTCTATTCTATTCTTCAGACTTTCTATTCACACGTGTGTCTGTTTGTGTACGTGTGTGTGCGCGCGTGCATGCTTGCGTGCGTAAAACAAGGCTGCCGGCAGCTCTCCTCAAGTCTCTGGTCTGACGGACAAGTTGAGACAGAACTGAAGGTGTGGCGGCAGTCAAGGTAGCCTGTCTCTACCTTAGAAGTGTCACGAGTGGAAACTTTATGACACCGGAATTGTCTCTTCACCGCGAGTCAGTGTTGTAGGAGGACAGAGAGGTCCGGATTCGTGTGGGTCACTGAGCCTAGAACTGGAGACAGCAGGAGCGTCGCAGGTTGGATTTTGCTGTCTTTAGGGACCTGAAATCGGCATTGCTGTATCCGGAACCTTCGGGTCCGGTTGCTCATGAGATCTGGAGGAATGGAAGTATCTGCCATGGAGTAAGCTTAATAACCGCAGGACGAAGAGGTAAATCTACACTGGTGCTCTCTGAATGTCTTAATGAGTGGAAACATCAGCCAGCTGTTGCTGTTCCCAGTGCCGTGAGAAGGCTTTATGTGGCTGGGTGGCATGACATGAATTCCAAGGATCATCAACCAGTATACAATGGCACAGTGGTAGCATTCAGGTTCACTTCCTTATATGCTGACTGGTTCTAGTGATAACAATAGCCGTGTTTATTTTCTCCTTTTACTCGGTAGGCTATGGAAACCCAATCCTGCCAGGAAAGGACAAACATTGAGATACTCCTAATAGGTCAAAATACTAAAGTAAAATCATTATATTTGAAGTCAAAATAGAAGACACTATGTAGAAGTTAATAAGTTTTTAAGTCAATACTTAAAATACTTTGTCACAAATTGGAAAATGATGAGACTAAATCATATCAAATGTTTATTTACACATAATCTCATCATCTTTTTATTAATACTAATTGTACTTCCTCTCTATATCATATTTTTGACTTGTATTTAAGAAAACGCGGCTCCACCAAAAACTGAACAAAAGTGTGACAGTGAAGGAGGACAATCCGGGAGATAAAGAGTAGAACGCTTTAATTACAGAAGTTCAGCTTTACAATTCATACTCCCCCACCCTAACCTCAGTCTCACTCTTTACTCCCCAGCTATACTAACAGGGAGGGGCTAAGCTCCACTAGCACACCTACACACTGCATGTTTAGCACGCTAAGTGAGTTAACACTTCACAAAGTTTACACTAGTGATTCCTTTCACTGCAAACAAGAACGAACCACCTCTCACTACTCCATCCTCCGGCTTGGGACCCGGAAATCTCGAGGAGCGAGGAGGCTTGCCCGAGGAGCTGTGAGCAAGGAAACGCAGGTGTATCCTTTACGGAAGTCTTTCAGCATCCGTAAACAAATAAAAGAGGTTTGACACACAGCTGGAATAATCCCAAAGCATTACTTGAAGACATTCCTGCTTTATTACTTTCATATTGACTGTAGCCTGCATCCATTTTTAACTGCTATAATGGTGACATGATGTTTACAAGTGCAAACAGCTGCTTATTATATCAACATTCTCTTTACTCACCACTTTTTTGCTGTATTTTATGTTGTCGTATAGATAGACAGGACTGTTTGTGTGTACATAATATATATCACTCAGTCATCTACTGTATATAATATGTCACTCTTTAGTTGTACAGTACTTTTCATACAAATATTTGTAGTACTTCCCACAATGATATATAGAAGCACTACAAATATTGTGTGTGTGTGTATTCATCCGTAGATTCTTCTAGAAGGTGTCATGAGCTCTGTTATGCTCATCTGACAGAGATCATAAAATACAGCAGTATAACCAAACAATGGACAGCTGTGACACACGTCATTTTTAATTGATGTCTTTAAAATGACACTCGGAGGCAACAGTGTCTCATTTGTTAAATGCCTGTTCCAAGTCTCCTGTGGGCGGGACTAAGACGTAAGGCGAGGAGGTGAGGAAAGGAATTACGCAGGCATAAAGTCAGGAAGTGAGAAAGACCCAGAGATTCATCCTGAGCAGTTATGATTGGTGGGGGAAGCAGGATGACAATAAACAAAATGAAAAGAAAGCATGACTAAACTTTAAAATACCTGCTACATCATACGTATCAGTTGTCCTACCGCCTTCAACCCTGCAAGGAAGCAGGTCTGACATACACAACAACAATACACGTCACAGACAGAAAGCAGGCTTATGTCTGCCCTCTCGTCTTCTCTGCTCGCCAACATGGAAGGAGGCCTGCATACTTTACCAGCGACCCTTAGTGCCACCTGCCACAAAGGACTGAACAATGAGGAATGATACAAATGAAAATACTCATGCTAAGGCAACATTTGGGTTTAATGTCTCACAATTCTGACTGACAGTATTTTGTCACAATTTGACTTTGTAGATTTAAAATAATGAGCTACTAAGCACAATTTATGACTTTTTACTGTAAAAAATGTGAGGCAGAAAGTTGAATTGACTTTTCTCATCAAATTAAAGTCATGCTATAGAAATGTATCAAATAATAAGCCAATATTATGTATAATTGTATCTAACTAAGCCAAAATGATGATAAACATTGGACCTAGTATCTGATCATTGTGTCGGATCTAAAATAGTCTACGCTTACAATGTGTTTATTTTGAAGTGTATTTTAATTAATTCAATACTGTGTATTGTGTGTATGTAAATGAAGAGTTTGAAAGGCGTTTCTACTTTCTATCAGGCACGTTGTTCCCTAAGCTCATCGTTCATGTGGAGCAATTCATTCATTCTTTGACCCATTTTTCTGATTGTCCAATTTTCCCATCCCCAATCCTCTCTGCTTTATTTAGCTTCACTGCAGCTCCCATCTCCTCTCAACCCTTCCTCCTCATCTCTGGCCTGTACTTGTCTTTTTCCTGCTCTATTCCATCACTTCTTATACAGCTACCATGCGCAGATTCAGCTCAGAGGGATCCCTCCTGGATCTGGACTTCCTCCCATGGAAGAGGGTGGCACTGAAGACCTCAGATCATGGGAAGAACCGGAAGTCCGACACCTACACCCCTCACACGGAGGAAGATGAGCTGGAAGGGAGCTCGACCCGCCCGACCCCCACCATCCGGGAGCCTAGAGCCAGTTCCAGCGAGGCGGGGAGGAAGGAGCTGATCAAGGAGCACAGCGTCAGCGCAGAGAACCTGTGCGAGCTGGAGAAACTGGGCAACAACCACCTCAGAGTGTGTGTCATTAGTGAAGGCTGCAGGGCCTACAGTGACGGCCAGCTGGCCCCGGCTGACCAGGGCAGCACGGAGAGCATGGAGAGCGACGATCTGCATTCCACGTCTCCTTCCTCCTCCTCCAAGCCCTTCAAATTCCATCACAGGCACCACCAGAAACCCAAACTGTCATCTGCTAAACTGCACCTCAAGAGTCTGTTCGGGCAGGTGGGAAACCAGTTCAGCTTCAGTCTACACAGTAGGGCAGTATATAGGCCAGATCCTAAAGATGATCCATAGTCAAGGTTTGATCATTTGTTACAAATCTTCCCAAACGTTCGGTTTCTGCTGCACGTTTTGTAAGCCTTCTGTAGGGTTCCATTGGTCTCTGAACATTTCAGCATGATGGATTCCCGCCTGTTCGTATTAACTTAAACTTAATGTAAAAATTATACATTTTTACATATACATAAAATTTGACCTCTGCACCTCCCGAGCATATTGGGATGTTGGGAGCAGTGGGCTTCTGAGAAGTGCCCGGGGAGCAGTTAGGGGTTCAGTGTCTTGCTTGGGACACTTTGGATCGAACCGCCAACCGTCTACCCAATGAACCACGGCCGCCCGTATTAATATGGATTGTGGATACTTTAGATTAACTGCTTACACTCAACAGTTGAGCTTAACATTTATACAAACATAATGTCTGGGTTCATCCTCCAGCTACTGAGCTCTGTTGCGACTCCACCTGCTGAAGACAACCAGGTGAAGTGGTTGAAAGTGCTGGAAACCCTTGAGCTGGGATTGTTATTAGTTATAAAAGATGTTATTTGCTCATAAAACTTTTAACTTGTCCGGGTTTGCTTACTCATATCTTATTGTTAGCGTAGTTTAGAGATGTAAACCCAGTTCTATGTGATGGTGAAACCTGGAAAGCTGCTTCATTGGGCTCTCACCAAGTGCAACAGGAAGAAGAAACACAGTTAACTTTGTGTTTTCTCTTTCAGAGTCCTCATTCCTCAAACTCCAACCTGTCCAACACAGAACAGACAGACAGGTGAGAATCATACATGTTTTCAGTTGCTAATTGTTGCTAACTGATGGCTCCATCTCACAACTGTTACTGTGCCTTTAATGTACTGTTCTTAGACAAACCCATCTGGTTCTGAGTCTGTGATGTCTGTCATGAGATTGTTGTGAAGCCTCACGTGAGCCTGCAGTGAGATGTGATGAGTGCACTACTGTTTGGTATGAACTCTCTCTGTCCTTTGGTGGTCCTGGTGCACAGTGCCAAAGAGAGGAGGTCTCGCCTGCTCTTCATGCGTCAGTGGAGTCAGGTGGGCCACAGTAAGAAGAGGAAGATCAGTCAAGAAGAGCTGGAGAAATGGGCGGAGTCCCTGAACGAGCTGCTGCTCAGCCAAAGTAAGTCCTGCTCCGTTCTGAGGTGAGATGTAGACGAACACTTGATGACCTTTGAAATCTCTGGAAAGGTTGATTCAGTGTATATATATATATGTGTGTGTGTATATATATATGTATGTGTATATATGTATGTGTATATATGTATGTGTGTATATATATATGTATGTGTGTATATAT